AATCTAGGTACAATACAAAGTCAATTTGCACTTTTCACATATGGTTCCAAGGTCATTAAGATAGAGAACTAAGAAGAAGGGGAATACATTTTCTCCCTGTCTAACGCCAGTACTACAGTGGAAGCGTGGTGAAGTAGAATTACCCAACTGTTATCGTGGTCGGTGAAGCGGGCATAATTCCACGGCTATCCAAGTTATACTATGTCACAATACAGCACCCGACCTAGTCGCGCATCGTGGGTCACGGTCTACAGCAAGATAATCCAGACAATCCACTGGTTCAGGAATCCCTCGACGTCAAAACATAGGACGGCGATTACTATAAAAGTCAAGCTTCTGCACTGTGTGTGTGTGTGCTGATCCTCGTTTGTATATAAAAGTATTCCTTATTGCACATGTATATATGACAGATCATACTCAATAACTTACGCATTTAAGACATTTGTTTTCCTGAGCTTGTATGTTTTATGATGAAATGTTAGCTACACTTTGCGTGTATTTTTTATATAAAATGTTTAGCACCACATGCGTGTGTTAATGTGCAGTTATTTTCTACTATTAAACGATAATTACAATTAATTATTCACTATCAGTATCCGAATATACAAAGTTTTGAATACAAGATATCAAATATACAATCGAGTCCGGTAATTCCGCGCAGGAGCAATAGCGTACTTCCGTATTGAAGGTAAACATCGTCTGCTACCATATTTGAAATCGGGACATTTCTACATGGAACTGGCTTTTAATCACTAAAGGAGAGTAAATAACAGTAATTGACAGATAAATTGACAGTTTTATGAAAATTCGTTTTCTTCAGACTTTTAAACCTTTTTCTTCATTATTCATAATTGGATTTAATATGAAACACTAGTCCATACATTGATGAAGTGATTTTTAAAAATAATCTGGCACTAATACGCTTCCATACTTCGGATCTCCAGCTGGATACTATGCGCATCAGTTGCTGCGCAGAATTACCGGACAGCAAGCGATGTCGTCCGAACGCCGGTAAGGTCAACCGTATGGCATAATGCAACGTTAGAATCTGATAGTCTTATATTTCTATGTAAATACGTAAACCACAAAAAATATGAGACGTTAGTTGCCGTGTTGCGATCGATGTGCTTAGGTGCGCTGAATTACCGGACGGCATTGTATATCATGAAAGTAAGGTTATAATGAACGGACCCGTGAAGATCCGGTTTAGAATTGGTCTTCAGCAACCCATACTTGTCCTAGGAGGCGATTAACGGGTTATCGGGTGGTAAGACTCGCTGACTTGTTTGACACATGTCATTGTATCCAGTTGAGTAGATCGATGCTCATGATGTTGTTGACTGGATTGTCTGGTCCAGATTCGATTATTGAAGAACGCCGCCATATATTTGGAATGTTCAGTAGGTTTCATCAGTTTATACCTAGCACTCGTTGAGTAACCTTATAACTCAAAATTATTCTTCTTATGAATAACTGTGAAATAATAATAATTATAATAAAAACAGGTTCTCCTTGTCAAGTCCTTTTGACACTGGCATGACATTTGGACTCGACAAATGTAATACTCTTCATTTGAAACCTGACAAGGTATTTAAAGATGGATCGGTCAAGTTACATGGAGGAATTATTGAGCATCTTGTGGAAGGTCAGGCCTACACCTAACTTTACATGCAAGTTCCAGACAAGCCCAGAATGCCCAGATTCAAGACAAACTTCGAGCCGAGTATAAAACTCGCTTAACGAAAGTCTGGTGCTCAGAGCTAAATGCTCGAAACAAGGTCAAAGCCACCAATATTTTTGCTGTGCCAGTCCTTTCCTTTTCCTTTGGGGTAGTTGATTGGACAAAACAAGATATCAAGAGCCTTGCCTAAGATGAGACCACACGTTCTTCGTTGTGGGGCAGGACCGAAGTCTTAGAAAATCTCAGGAGTGAAGCTGCCAAACACGGTCACCCATCCACGGACTCTCCGCACCCAACGTTGCTTTACTTAAACTGATTTGTGACCTGAGCTCTGTGCACAGGACCACACGCCACCACGACCACATTGCAACGTACTTAAATTGCTTCAATATTACTTACTGCTCTGTACCACATGTTCTCAGCGTGTATGGCAAGGATACAATACAGCTATAAGCAAAGTCTAACGACCAGGCTTCCTGTGAATCCCATTAACAAGCGTGAACGGTTTGCCAATAAATGAGTTTGCTGTGTGTCACAAGGATGGGTCAAGGTGACCTCGACTTTCCTCGATTATCTGAGCCTGACTGTAGGTCAGTGACTCTTTCCTGAGAGGTTCTTTATGATTATGGAAAACATGTCTCTTTTTAACTGCGGAACATGAGACATATTGCCATTACAATTATAGTCATGTGACACCAAATTCATGCCAATTTCTCCTTGCCTTGTTATGACGTGACTATGCCAAACAAACCGTTTAGCATAAACATTTTTTACTTCGACGTACAATGGGGTCACGCTATATGATTATCTTTTTGTATGTACTAAATCTGGTACCGAAACTATTAATGATGAGAAAGGCGGTAAGTACAGAAAAGTACTCTGATCATTTAGAAAATCAGATTACACTTCTAACTGCGAGACCCGTGAAGGTCCGGGTTAGAATGTACCTTTAGTAACCCATGCTTGTCGTAAGAGGCGACTAACGGGATCGGGTGGTCAGGTTCGCTGGCTTGGTTGACACATGTCATCGGTTCCCAATTGCGCAGTTCGATGCTCATGCTGTTGATCACTGGATTGTTTGGTCCAGACTCGATTATTTACAGACCGCCGCCATATAACTGGAATATTGCTGAGTGTGGCGTAAAAAATAAACTCACTCACTCACTCAAACTGCGACTTCTCACCGATCCAATGCATTACGATCCAGTCTCATGAACAGCAAGTAAATGCGACACAAATATTACCCTAGATTGTATGGATAACTCGAAATACACAGACTTGAATACTTACATATACTGAGAGAAACAAATAATGGAACATAGGAAAATTCAAGCGTTCCTTTAGTATTTTCCAGTTTTCATGACCAGCTTTGAATAACGCTGGATGAAATCTGAGAATGAATAAAAGAGCACTGCCATGAAGTGGTGTTCCCTTATTTGTTTCCCTCAGTATATGTTTATCAAGAAAAGAAATAGGCCAAATGTCAGTTCCCATACGACTTCTATAAGGGATTTAAACAATATATTGTGTTGGTATACGTTCTTGGCTCAAAACACCCAGCTTAGGTCTCAGTTGGGGTAGCCTAGTGGTTAAAGCGTTCGCTCGTCACGCCGAAGACCTGGGTTCGATTCCCAACATGGGTATAATGTGAATTTCTGGTGTCCCCCGCCGTGATATTGCTGGAATATTGCTAAAAGCGGCGTAAAACTAAAAATCACTCACTCACCCGAAGGATTCTGAAACAATCTTCAAATGTTTAAAAGCTGATAGGTAGATTGCACCTTTACTGACTGACTGAGTTTGGTTTTACGCCGCTTTTAGCAATATTCCAGCAATATCACGGCGGGGAACACCAGAAATGGGCTTCACACATTGTACCCATGTGGGGATTCGAACCCGGGTCTTCGGTGTGACGAGCCAACGCTTTAACCATTAGGCTACCCCACCGCCCCTGCACCTTTAACATTGTTATTGCATGTATGACAAAACGTAGACTTAAGTGGAACGACAGTGATATTACATCGTTTGCAAACGCTTGTTTACAAAAATATTATTTGAATGTGATTGTTGATAAAGTAAACGACGTAGCCTATTATCGCGTAGAGACGCATAGAAAATATAACATATGTGTACATGTATATCTCAGTAAAACCCTAACTGTCACTGCCATCCGTTTGGTAAACTGATATCGGGCATTAGTGTTTCCGGACCCAATAATTTCATTCGGGAAGTATCCATGGCCGCTGACAGGGAACAGTAAACTTGTTTTGTACTTGTTGTGGCTACTATTTAGAGACACTAAACTAACAATCTTGTCTTATTCCTCTTCCAAAGATGTACGTGACGAAACAAGTGCTTATACGAAGGTGAAGTGAAATTGTGTTTAACGTCGTGCTTGAGAATATTTCGCTCATATGACGACGTGCATGCGTGTGTATGTGTATGTGCGGCTGCTTGTACTAACCCAGGCATAAGCTGTTTTTAGTGCTAGCTCAATGAGATACCATGCCGCAGTGAAGCATGAATACCCCACTCAGACACATTATACTGACTCCGAGCCGACCGGTCCTTGTTGTACTCATTAATGCCGAGCGCCAGGCAGGGACCAACAAGTACCATATTTTAACGTCTTTTGGTCGAACCCGCGACCTTCCGCTCTCCGGGCGGACGCTCTAACCACTACACCACGGAGGCGGTCTTACACGAAGACGAGAGCATGGAATTAATCAACGTTATCTACAGGTAGTTTGTGAAAATGAATGACAGTTGCGGTCGTTTCTTGGGTCCAACAACAAAACGCGCAAAAAAGACTTATAGTCAAAACCAACCAGTGAAGATCCGGGTTAGAACTGATCTTCAGCAACCCATGCTTGTCGTAAGAGGCGACTAACGAGATAGGTTGTCAGGCTCGCTGACTTGGTTGACACATGTCGTCGTATCCCAAATGAGTATATTCAGTCTCATGCTGTTGGTCACAGGATTATCTGTCCCAGACTCGATTATATCCAGACCGCCGCAGTATAACTGGAATATGGCTGAATGCGGCGTAAACCAACCAACTATAGATGGACTCGATAAATCAATAATGTGGAGAAAAATGAAAAATACAACGTATAATGTATTTTCCACATGAAAGAATATTGTGCCTATGAAACCGGATATAGCTGGAATAATGCTCGTAACGGATTAAACAACAAACAAACAAAACAACACTGCATCTGGTGCTCCTTCTGACATTCCAGGTCCCCTCCAGTGAACTCCATGTAAACATGCATGATATCTGGGTCGTTCAATTATGGTTTGTCCTGCATGCATTGGAGGTCGCCTATATGCTTTGTAAGGACAACGCACACCGACACAGCACAGTGGGCCTGTCACCTGACCGTGAATTGCCTGTGGGTATCTTCAGATTCATCTAGCAGAAACGCTACTAGATCACGGAACTGACTTTGTCGATCACCGCATATATGACGACGAAACATGCTTAGATACGGTACTGTTTCCATGGAGTATGCAGTTCATGCATGCAGCGCTGTAATACGTGTACGCTTCGGTATTGCTCGTATGGCGGAATGAACGGACTGGCTATTGGCGAGACAAGGTATGGATATTTTGTTATCTTCCTTCACGGTGTGGGAAATAATGGCATATGTATGGAAAATGACCCCTCATCTTCTGTTTGATTATAGAGATGAAGGTATATTTTGCTGCTTGGCACTCCCAGATGAGATGAGATTGTATAGGGTAGTATAGTAGTGTTAGATGGGAGCCGAGGTCATGGACTCTGTTAGGCGTTAGGGTTATGGGCCTCGACAGTGTTGTTTTCTATGTTGCAACAGTGTATGAATCTGAATTGACATATGCACTGCGTAACACCTTTGGGTTTATTACACGAGTGCAGCTACATCGCGAGTGGTTTATAAATGCATGTAATGTGGATACGACCGTCTGTGTGTGTTTGAGATGTAGGTTTGTGCGTTTGTGATGTCTGTGTGTGTTGTGTTTCATGTGTGTGTGTGTATGTCAGTGTGTATGTGCGTGCATGATGTATGTGTCATGTTCGTGGGTGTGGGATTGATGAATGGGGATGGAAGGGAAGCGATGTCAGTATTCTCGTTTTACGTCCCAAGGGGGTAGTTGGAGGGAGATGTGGGGAGGGGTTGGAAGAGAAGCGATGTCAACGCTCTCGATTTACGCCCGATGGAGGGAGGGGGAGGGTAGATTAGGGGTGGAGATGGAAAAGAACCGATGTCAATGTTCTCGTTTCACGACCATGGAGGTGTGGGGGAGATGAGGGGTGGGGATGGAAGAGAAGTGATGTCAGTGTTCTCGTTTCACGTACCATGGAGGTGTGGGGAGATGATGAGGGTGGGGTTGAAAGAGAAGTGATGTCAGTGTTCTCGTTTCCGTACCATGTCGGTGGGTGGAGGGGAGGGGTTGATGAAGATGAAGGAAGTGATGTCAATGTTCTCGTTTCACGTCCCATGGAGGTGAGGGGGGAGATGAGGAGGGATGGAAGAGAAGTGATGTCAATGTTCTCGTTTCACGTCCGATGGAGGTGTGAGGGGTGATGGGGTGGAGGTAGATGAGGGGTGGGGATGGAAAAGAAGCGATGCCAGTGTTCTCGGTTCCACGTACCATGGAGGTGTGGGGGAGATGAGGGAGGGATGGAAGAGAAGTGATGTCAATGCTCTCGATTTACGTCCCATGGAGGTCGGTGGGTGATGAGGGAGGGTTGGAAGAGAAGCCATGTCAATGCTCTCGTTTCATGTCCAATGGAGGGGTGTGAGGGAGGGGCTAGGAAGGGAAGTGATGTCAGTGCCTTGCTCTCACGTCCCATGGAGGTGTGGGGGGAGATGAGGGGTGGGGATGGAAGGGAAGTGATGTCAATGTTCTCGTTTCAGGTCCATGGACGTGTGGGGAGATGAGGGGAGGGATGGAAGAGAAGGGATGTCAGTGCTCTCGATTTCAAGTCCCATGGAGGTGTGGGGGGAGATGAGGGAGGGATGGAAGAGAAGTGATGTCAGTGCTCTCGTTTCACGTCCCATGGAGGTGTGGGGGAGATGAGGGGAGGGATGGAAGAGAAGTGATGTCAGTGCTCTGTTTCTCACGTCCCATGGAGGGTGGGGGAGATGAGGGGAGGGGATGGAAGAGAAGTGATGTCAGTGCTCTCGTTTCACGTCCCATGGAGGTCGGGGGAGGGTGATGAGGGGTGGATTTGGAAGGGAAGCGATGTCAATGCTCTCGCTTCACGTCCAATGGAGGGGGGATGATGGAGGGGCTAGAAGGAAGTGATGTCAGTGCTCTCTGTTTCACGTCCCATGGAGGTGGGGAGAGATGAGGGAGGGTTGGAAGAGAAGCTGATGTCAACGCTCTCGATTTACGTCCGATGGAGGAGGAGGGTAGATAGAGGGTGGAGATGGAAAAGAACCGATGTCAGTGTTCTCGTTTCACGTCCCATGGAGGTGTGGGGGAGATGAGGGTGGGGATGGAAGAGAAGGGATGTCAGTGTTCTGTTTCACGTACCATGGAGGTGGGGGGATGATGGGAGGGGACGGAAAAGGAAGTGATGTCAGTGTTCTCGTTTCCCGTACCATGGAGGTGGGAGGAGGAGGGGTTGATGAGGGGTGGAGATGGAAAAGAACCGATGTCATGGAGGTGTGGGGAGATGAGGGAGGGGATGGAAGGGAAATGTTCTCGTGTGGGGGGAGATGAGGCACCATGGAGGTGTGGGGGCAGATGAGGGAGATGGGGATGGAAGAGAAGTGATGTCAATGTTCCTGTTTCAGGTCCATGGACGTGTGGGGAGATGCGGGAGGGATGGAAGAGAAGTGATGTCAGTGCTCTCTGGTTTCTAAGTCCCATGGAGGTGTGGGGGAGATGAGGGGAGGGATGGAAGAGAAGTGATGTCAGTGCTCTCGTTTCAAGTCCCATGGAGGTGTGGGGAGATGCGGGGGAGGGATGGAAGAGAAGTGATGTCAGTGCTCTGTTTCAAGTCCCATGGAGAGGTGGGGAGATGAGGGGAGGGGATGGAAGAGAAGTGATGTCAGTGCCTCGCTTTCACGTCCCATGGAGGTGTGGGGGGAGATGAGGAGAGGGGATGGAAGAGAAGTGATGTCAGTGCTCTCGTTTCACGTCCAATGGAGGTGTCGGGAGGGTGATGAGGGGTGGGGTTGGAAGAGAAGCGATGTCAATGCTCTCGCTTCATGTCCAATGGAGGGGGGGATGAGGGGAGGGGCTAGAAGGGAAGTGATGTCAGTGCTCTCGTTTCCTGTCCCATGGAGGTGTGGGGAGGGAGATGAGGGGACGGGTTAACGTTGGAAGAGAGGTGATGTCAACGCTCTGGATTTACTTCCCACTGAGGTAACTGAAGGGAGATTAGGGGAGGGGCTGGTCCCGTGGAGGTGGGAAAGGGCAAATATATGGCAGGTTTGAAGTGAGGCTTGTCCCATGGAGTGGTGGTGGGGGGGGGAGAGAAAATAGCAAAGTCACTATGACACAGCATATCGTGTACACATATGCAAAAGCATCGCGTGTACACATAAAGAACACACATATTGTATCAATGTAAGGTTGAATAGGGTTGACAAACAGGCCGTACTGCTCTACACAATACAACTATTGCTACATAGTGATAACAGTGGCAGTACCTTAAGCTCAAGACATTCATACCATGAGAAGACCACTTATACTAGTCCCCACCTTCTGATTCAACCCTAACCCTAATCCAACCTTTATATTTCCTGAAAGGTTATCAAATGACCAAACTCTCGTGAACATGAAGTGCACACCCTCCCCCTTTTCTCAAAATGCTGTATCCGCCCCTGTTAAATTATTGATACCCCCTTCACACTTGAGGAGGAATGTGCCGGAGTGCTGTCGGAATGAAAAGTTCCTGGAGATTCTTGGAAATTCTTACTGCATTCTAAAACTTCCTACTGCATTCTGAAAGCATTTCAACTGTTTAGGTCAATTCTTGCAACATGCCCGAATGTTTTGAACATGTTCAAAGCTTTCGAGGCACTTTTGAAATGGAAAAATATCGAACGACATTTGAAGTACATTCTAAATGCTTTCTGAGTATTCTTACTGCATTCTAACTGTATTCGAAGTATTCTTACTGCATGATATATATATTCTGAACATATTCGAGGGAGAATGGAAAAGGCAAGCCACTTCAAATCCTGTCAGAATGTCAGAATGCGCCTGGAATGTATCTCGATTGCTGCTGGAATTCCGGTGGAATATTCTTCCAATGTATCGGAATATTTGGATTGCAGTTGTAATACAGCTCGAATGTATCTCGAATACACCTCGAATACAGTCAGAACGTTCCGAATGCTCTTCAAATGAGCCCTGACGTCACCAGAACACCACCGAATCACTTAAAAATGTGGCGACCTGTCACAGAAACGTCAGATAGAATTTGGGAGTTGCATTACAAAGCTTGAAAAAAAACTGTCTAGTTTGACATTCTCTCCCGATTGCGGTTCGAATTTTGGAAATAATCCTTGATTCCTGTCAATTCGAAATAAGTGCGAAGGAGACGTAAAACATGTGGTTGATATTCATGAAATTATATCATAATAATGTTTTAAGATGAAAACACATTCCGTGACAGTATATAGAGCTATATAATAATTCGACAAATATATGGTGCCCGCGAAAACTAACGCAGTAAAAGCCACAGTTACATTCTGAAATGTTGAGACCGCCTCTGTGGTGTAGTGGTTAGAGTGGCCTCCCGGAGAGCGGAAGGTCGCGGGTTCGATCCCCGACCGCGTCATACCAAAAGACGTTAAAATATGGTACTTGTTGGTCCTTGCCTGGCGCTCGGCATTAATGGATACAACAAGGACTGGTCGGCTCGGAGTGGGGTGTTCAATACTATTCATGCTTCACTGCGGCATGGTATTTCAGTGGGCTAGCACTATAAAACCAGCTTCAGGCTGGGCTAGTAAAAGCAGCCGCACATACACACGCATGCACGTCGTCATATGAGCGAAATATTCTCAAGCAAGACGTTAAACCCAATTTCACCTCACCTCACATCTGAAATGTTGAAATATATTTTTCATCCCTTCGACTTCTTAGATCACAACATCAAATTCTTCTACCAGTATAGACAAAATCGAGTACCGTATTACATTTTCAGACTTATACAATGGTATTTTGGCGTTTTTTGTTTGTTTTTGTAAACCATCATTGTACTAGCATGATGAACGTCAATGGGTAACACATTCCGAAGGTTGGTAGTAACACACTGCATCGACGTCTCAGTAATTATAACTGCTTATCCGTTGTGTTTTTATTTGCAGTGGTTATTTATCTGACGTAGAGCATGATCGCAAGATATACTCCGGCGGTATCCTTTTGGTTCCATCAAAATAGTTTCTTGATTTTTCTTCTTGTCAGAGAAGGGACAGCGGGATAGTTAAGTGGTTAACGCATTCGCTCGTCACACCGAAGACCCTGATTTGATCCCCTCATGGGTACAGTGCGTGTAGCCCATTTCTTGTGTCCCCCACCCCGATATTGCTGGAATATTGCTAAAAGTGCCGCAAAACCATACTCACTCACTTTTTGGAGACTGTACAATAA